CAAAGACCCGCTTTTGCTCTCTGGTACCGCATGCCATGCCGGCCCCAGCACCCAGAGTGAACCTAGGACAGGGAGATCACTATGAGCCTGAACTGTATAGCAAGACCCTATATCAAATAATTTTTTAAAAAAAGCTTTGAGACCAGGCATGATGGCACGTGGCTGTAATCCCAGCTCTTGGAAAGCTGTAAACAGACAGATCACTACGAGTCTGATCTAGTAGTGAGACCCCGAACACCCTGTAGACCCTTCCCTACAATACAAAAAAAAAGCTTAATTCATAAGTCATTCTTAAACAATTGTGCATATTCATATGTAAACTACCATTATATAGTTAATCAATGCTGTACTATTCAATTTAAAATGAATTTATTATATATATATAAAGCATTTAACGTCAACAAATATTTTCTATGACATAGTTTGGGAAAAACTAGATACATATGAGAATGACCACATCAAAAGTACAAAATTTCACCTAAACATAAAGTGTGATATATACTTTAATCATTCCAAGTTATAGGTGTCATATTATCAGAATGTTGTGGATTTCTCCAGACATGATTTTAAGAAAAAATAAAGTAACATACCTAATTTCATCTAGCTATCACGAAGCAAAAAACCTTACAGTATCTTTCGATTCATAATTTGTTAAATGTAATACTGACTCATAAATATTCTTTTTTTTTTTTTTTTTTTTTGGCGGAACTGGGGATTGAACTCAGACCCTTGCGCTTGCCAGGGAAGCACTTATTCCACTGAGCCATCTCCCCGGCCCTGGCTCATAAATATTCTGAGATATAAGAAATGCTTCTCTATAAATGTTTGTGGTGCCTTGAACAGAAAACAGATTTTAAAAGGGACAGACTGGAATACACAGAAAGCAAGTAGCATGGAGGAACTACAGATGACACTACCTATAAACCAACTGGCCAGGAGGGTTTGGGAGAACAGAGCTAAGAATTACTGTAATGGGGATTTCTAATCCAACTAACGATGACGAGTAAAACTTTATGTCAACCAAGAGCTAGATTAATCTGGAGGCTTGCTCATGCACATGTATACACACGTAAACATATGCAAATTGCTCTCTATTTCTGCTTAACAACACCATTGTCTCATACATTTCTCTCTCAGTAGCTGACTGTGCACACCATTGACACAATGAGAGAATTAGATGTTGACAAACGGCAGAGATGACACTGTGCGCTAACACGGTAATTCTGAAATGCCCCAACACAAACAAACTAGACCACCACTTCAGCATGAAAGAAGGGTTGTGAACATGGAAACTCCAGATAAGAACTGATTTTGTAATAAAAATTATTTGTGTTTCTTTCTTATCTCTAGACAAAACATTTCAGCAGCAAGAAAGAATCATCTCCTATAGCACTAATTAGTAATGTAAATCTTACCAAGAGCAACGCCAAGAAATTTTATTGTTTGTCACTATACATGGTAATAGAATTTCTGACATTTTATCCCTCTAAAAATGCAACATCTTTAATAGGCCAGGGTACAAAGCAGAGACACTAATTTCATATAACATCACAGAGATTGCAAAAGAGAAAACATAAAAAGACTTAAACCAGGACATAAAAACAAATTTATTCTAAGCATTATCAAAAATAAAAAAAAATCATTCATATGCCAAGAATTCAAAATCTAGGGCTGTCAAGTGAATGTTCCACATTGAAAAATCTAACATACATTATTCTGTATATTATAAGAAACACTAAACCCAACAGAGATTGTTTATAAAACTTTCTAAATGTCCCTACTGGGATATGTAAATATGGGCTGCTGCTCTGCAAAGAGTTCATCTAACAGATTTTTTATGGTAAGGCATATTAAAAACTACCTCATAAATACTGCCCTGTATCTAACCTAGCAGATTTCTTACTGCCTTGTGTGGTTGTGGTTTGTGTACATTTTTCTCTTTATTTTATGACCCTCTCAGCCTCATTAGAAACTACTCACCTATTATTAAGTAACATAAAAAGTATGTCAGAGTTCATGCCAAATGAATAACAAATATTTTGTAATGGTAATACTTGGTACATAAAAAGTGAGTCCTCACTGATGAGCGGTTGTTTTGCTCTAGCTGAGTAAACAAGGAAGGCTTACTCCATGACCCTGCAGCCCCTAGACTTGTCACATTAACAGAGCACTTATTCCTTTGAAAGCATCCCTTTAAAAATTCCACTAGACAGGGCAGAAATAAACATATCCTCTGGCATCAAAAATCCAACAATCCTTTTTGTAAAGGAATAAGTTCTGAGCAAGCAAATCAGAAGCAGAATTAAGATCCCCCGCAATCACCCAAAGCGTGGTAACCAGAGTTGCTCTTCTTTTTCTACATAAATGCTGCAGACAAGCACATTTTCTACGGCAGCAGACCAAGTCCCTGAAGAAGAGGGAATGTTTAGCTAAAGGGTCCACAAGAATATCAAATATCCAACTGCAAAAGCAGCAGACTGGAATATCCACATAATCCCCTCTAGCTAAGTAGCAGGGCTAGCTGATTGTACAGAAGAGTCTCATCATCTGCAAAACATTCCAAACAACTGCGAGTGATCCATTGTTGACAACCAATGCATGTGAAAGATTACAAGCCTAAAATCCTCAGTAGAGTGAAAGTACAGATGGATGAGATAATGTATACTATACAGTTATGTACATAAACCCTTCTTTCTTACCATACAAAAGGGAAATAAAATTTACCAAATATATTTTCACTCAGAGGAGAACCCGATTTAGCAAAATCATGTTAATGCCATATTAGTATTCTTCCAACAAAAACCATATACCCTGACAATGTATCATATTCAGTTATCTTTTTTAATCCACATAAAAATCACTTATTTCATTCTGATTTTTTTTCAGATAGATTTTATAATCACACTAATAATTCCATCAAGAACATGATGCTACACATAGGATATGGTTTACAGAAGTGGTCCACTTCTTATTTGTCCCCATAAAAATAAGTGCCACTTGAAAAGAAAAAAGTATAATGTCAAAACTTCTGTCTCAAAGTAACATCACATATACCTAATGTATTCAAATACCCACATTAGCTTTGCCAAAATTATCATGTAAGGTTTTCTTTGTAAGTTACAAAGTTAAAATAGTGGCTCTTACGGTACTGTATTTGAAAGTAAGCAATAGAACAATAAATTTACTTGTTCACAGATAATCTGCTAAGATATTCAGCATTCATATACTTAGTAGAACTCCCTCAAAATAGGCTCATTTTCAACTAAAAACAACTCCTGAATAAGATGTAAAATACAATCCATTATGTTCAGAAGCTTCAACGACTGAACGCAAGCCAGACATCACCCAGCACCAGTGAATTATCATCTTGAGAAAGATCATTACTGAACAATACACTCTACTATATACTGACTATCTACCAAGTGCCAGGAGTCGTAGGTACAAGATGCTTCCCTTCAAGAGCTCACAGACACCAGAGAAGACAGACAAGAGCAAACTTACAGTATGGCAAGGCAAATGCAAAAGAGGACATGGCTGGCACATGGGGAATAAGAACCCACATGGCATGTGACATGAATGGCTTTGCATCAACTGCAGAGTGAAAAGGTTATGGATACAGACTCTGTCATCTCGTTCCTAGAAATGCTATGTAGAGTGGTACCCTGTTTGGGGAAGGACTGTTGGCATTATCTGTTTTCCAGAGACCAGAGGGTCACGGCCACATCAGTAACTTCGCAATCACTTCCCTGTATTTTATCAGGCAATAGGCATTTCTTGAAAAACATATCAATAATAAATACCTAGAAATTCCTCCTGTTTGACCTTTTTTTCTTTTTTTGCAGAATCAGGGATTGCTGTTTGACCTGATGATGGAATTTCTACACTTAATAAAAATATATACAGTTACAGCTCATTTATTCAGCAACCTTAAATATTTGGAAAACATGTAAGAACTTGAAAAGTATGAAAATGGTACATGAAGTCAGCACGCGAACATCAGCATCTGCTACCTAAAACAACATTCATCACATACATGACTGTCTCTAAACTCACTGAAAATATAAACATGTTTCTTTCATATGTGATTCTAATAAGCAAACTAGAGTTAGAACACCAGGAAAGCATGGGCACAGATACGTGGACTGCAGCAAACCGCAGCTGAGAAGAAGTCAGGGAGAAAAGAAACAGTCAAAAGAAATGAAAACACAATACATAAGACTGCAGCCACTCAGTGCAGACCTAATTTTATAAAAGATAATCCTAAAAGAATGGTAGTGTCCTTTCTTTTGCGTTTTTCCTCTCCTGTTCAACTTGATAACTGCTTTAATAAGCAGGGCTTTAAATATTATAGTGGTCCATTCAGGTTTTTTACCTTTTAAGGTGCTACTGAGAGCTGTGCCAGGAATTTTACACCTCAAGCTGCATACCAGCTGAGAGCAGCAGAGCCAGCCCTGCGCAGGCGGCTAAGCTAGCGACCCAAGTCTGAACACCTACATCTGGAAGATGCGTCTAACCCATCACGTCTGTATCAGCACACGCTGGCACGGAGCACACAGCAACAGGAACTGCTACAGGTTTACTCGCTTTTTCGCCTTGTCTCTAAATGGCATAAACCTTTTCAGGGTTATTGATGGATGGCAAGGACAAAGTGATTTCAAGTTTTCCACGTTTGGTTCCCTAGCTCTTGGTGCTGACCTCTGACTCTGAACAAGACTACCTCAGTCAGGGCTCTGAAGCACTGTCAGCAACAAACCTGAGGTTGCTCCCACCGCGATGTGAGGGCATAATGCCTGCCACACAGTGCAGTGACAATCTCAGGCCTCATACAGAGAAGGTAGAAACAGTGTCTCCAACACGGATGAAATTCTGAGCACCAGTGCCTTGTATCCCCCTAAACTGTGATGGCCCTGGATCTAACCTACAAAGCACACATTTTAATCAGCTAGAGGATCCTGCTATTCATACATTAAAAAAATGTATAGAAAGTATAGGTGGAACACTTTCTTTAGAAAAATTTGGCCCCTGGAGAATATTCATTTCTCCATATCAAAAAAACACTCAAAAGATGGCTCAGCAGACTTTACTTTGTAAAGATAATGTTGCAGCCAGCAACTCCCCACAAAATGCACATGGTATCACGTGAGGAATGGCATGCACCTGTGGTGTTAGCATCACCGTGTTAGGCTAGAATTCATCTCTGGTTTCCTTCATTGAATAGTATTGCTACACAGCCCTGAGCTGCTGGCCAAGCCAAATCAGTAACGCTAATACAGAAATAAACACAAAGGAACATCATGAATAAGCAAAATGTGGTACACCCATGAATGGAATATTGGTAGGCAATAAAAAGGTACAGAGTTCTGACAGAGGCAACATGAGTGAACCTTGAAAGAAATTACACTAAGTGGAAAAAAAGCCCAAGGCTGCATTTATATGAATTTTATTTATATACAATACCCAGAAGAGCAAATCCATAGAAGCCATAAAGATTAGTGCTTGCCAGAAGCCAGGAGAGTGGGGAAGGAGAGCGCTTGCTAATGGGTCTGAAGTTTATTTTGGGTAATGAAAATGTTCTAAAAATAGACAGCGGTGGAGACCACACAACTGAGAAAATATGAAATAAACTACTAAACTGTGTACTTTACTTTAACAGGAGGAATGTTATAATAGGTGAATCCTCGTGCAATAAAGCTTTTACTTGAAAAGGGGAGGTAGAAGGCCCAGCAGCTGATAAAAGTTACTCTGAGGAAGAGCTCGTAAAGCAGGGACCAGACCTGGAGCCAGGTTTGCTGATGCCTTAAACTTCACTAGCATCCACTTACCTTTGGGTATTGCGGTCCCTCTCTGCTTAATTTCAGAAACACAGAATCTTCGTACAAGAAACAAAAACAGGTCTAACTCAAGAAGGGCTAAGTCACAAAACGCTGCTCTTGTTCACAAAGCAAAATTCATTCTGCACCAATGTAGCTAATGTAATTTGTCAACAGGCAGTTCCAAGGAAGTCTTAGGTCACCCAAATGCTTTGCAATCACAAAAGCATTTGGAAATAGTTACGTAATTCATAATGGACTACAGTATCAAAATCTACGTATACCTATCACTTTGTACCTAGTACAAACTATTAATTAAAACAGGAAAAGTTTTAAACAGGAATACTGACCTTGTTTCTTTTAATCCTTCTTTCTGAATGACTTCCAGTATCTGCTTTGCTGTCATTGGTGAGTTGGGGTGTTTTTCTAGTGCCTACAAATAAACATAAGATTTCTAGATTATCACGTGGAAGTACACAAAATGAAAATTTGTGTGAATCATGCAATAATTGCTTAAAGTTTTAAAGGGGAAGGGACTTTTATGTCAAAATAAGTTCTCCTCACATAGCTAAGATGTCCAAAGGGAAAATTTAATATTTTTCTGGGCTTCTAAAACAGCAATTTGTACAGGGGACATCCTTCAAAAAATGTCAAAGGTTTATACACACACCAAAAAAAGGAAATGTGGCACCTAATGAAAACAAATCCATATATTTGATATATATATATAAATATAAATATATCTATAGTTTTATTTATTCAAATAATTACTAGTATTTGGTAGGCAAAGACTAATCTTCAGGCTGTTAAAGTGTCTCCTCAGTTCTCAAAACTTTGGAAACATGGTGCCTGGATGGTACCAGTAACACAGAACAAAATGCTGGTCAAAAAGAACCTCACAATATTTATAGTTCGATCACCACATTTGTATTTTTAAAAATGAAAAACAAAATAAAATCTTCAATGCTAAGATACTGAAAGAATACAGAAGCCAAGGTCAGTTGCTGCTGTGTGTTTTCCAGTTCAGCTCAGTTTCCTTTGCCTTTTCCAATTAATTTTAAGGAAATCCTTTCCACTTTCTATTCAGCCCATTTCAGTTTTATAAATTCAGTCCCATTTTCGTTCTCTCCTCTTCTGCCCTACTTGTTCTTTGGGGTAGGGGTTTTTCTTAAACAGAGGGTATGGCAATCTATGAGTCGACTGTTTCCACAGGCAGGAGACTATCAGCCCTGGTAATCAAGTCCTTTTGTATAAACAGGAACTTAGCTCTATGCAACAGAAGCAATCAACAGCAAAGCCCTCACATGGACCTCAGGGACCATCTCTGGGTGTAAGAAACAAGTCTATACACCTCTTCAAAGGACCTCCTTTCTCTGGGGAGATGACACCTAATTAAAGATCTTATAATGGAGCTTTCAGCACAAGTCATGGCCCCATTCCACATGGTTCTAATGTTCTTACCCATGCTTATTTACTAGAAGGACCATAATTATTAAGAATTAAAGGGGTTACCTGGAAGGCTTCCCAATCTGTTGAACACAGCTCCATGATCTCGTCTATGATCAATGGTTAACTGTCAACTAGCTCACTAGCAAAGGTTCCACCTGTCGTGGTCCTCCAATGAGGTGCGTACAGCCTGTCCTTCAACCTCAGGCTGTGCCCTAGGCCCCCCATTCCATTTCATGGGCTATTTCCCCATTTTCTCAACCTTAATCAGTCCCTCACTCATGGTTATCAAGTTCCTTATGAATACAGAAATAGGAGTCACACTAGAAAGAGTGTGTGGCAACATGTATGTCCACAGGGAAGAAGGAAAATGGTCCTCACAGAGGACGAGACTGGAGAGCTGAACTGAAAACTCGGAAAGGGGATAAAAGAAACAGGCAAAGCTGTATGGGGAAAAGGAGTCAAGGCAAAAAATATTGGAAAAAAGGCAACAAGGAAACTGTTTAATAGAGCTGAAAGGGGGAAAAAAGTTTATCACATAGAAAGGGGGATAGAAATAGACATGAAAACAAAAAAGAGCTGACAGAATATTTTAAAAAAGAAACTGTAAGTAGAACAGTATATAATGATGAGTTACAGGAAGGAGATGTTGTGATCACATGGTCTACACAGACGGTGGGCATCGCCCCAGATGAGCGGCAATGCTGGAAACACTCATGGTCTCTCATAAAAGATATGGGCAGAAGGCCGATAGACACAGACAGACACCACGCAGGCAAGGATGGGGGACAGGAGAGGAAAGGCACAGGTTTGAGGGAGGAGGGTGCACAGGAGAGGTAGGTAAGAAAGGAAGAAAATTGAGCTGAACTGGGAGTGTCTAAAAGCAAACTGGTTCACTCCAGAAAGGGCCGAAGAGGAAACTCCAATGTCTGGGCAGTGTTTTAACAGAAATTTGGGTACACTCAAAAGCGGGGTTACTCACTGTGGAGGATTCCCTGTTTCTCTTCCTGAGTACAGGCCCCTCAGCACACCTGGACAGCTCCTCCCAGCAATTGAGAGAATTTGGATAGCCCTGTCCCCTTCTCTATGACATCACATCCTACTCTACAAAGGAAGTAAAAGTGCCAAGAATTACATCAGGAAGCAGAAGAGAGGCAGGAAGGAAATGATGAAGCCACACAGAGCACCAGAAGCCACCCTCAGTTCCTGCAAGACAGAGAAAGGAGACAGAGAAGGAGAGGTTCCTAGGTATGAGCGTGCTTTACTGAGCTCTAGCTTTGTACACATCAGTAGGACAAAAGATAGAGAGAAATTACCATCATTGAACAAAAAATTGATATCATCAAAACAATAGGACACAAGGTGGAGGCATGAATCAGGCTCCCAGGCATTCACACTCCAAACGCGAGAGTGGGGGAAACCCTCAGTTGGTAGAGCACAGCGGCACCATAAGCGCACGGCCTAAGCGGGAGCCTTGGCAATGGCCATGGCCGCAACAGGCTGCTGGGGATGAGGCATTACTTGACCTTGGACTTGTCTGGACTTTTTACCCATTTCTGCAAGATGTCTTATTTTTACACAAGCAATTCTATCTTTCCACACATAAACTGGCTTCTGCTTTCACACACTGAAGTTCCTTTTATCCATGTAGCATGCAAATACCTATAAATGTTTCTCTCAAGTATTTTTTTATGCTTACACTTTGATTCATCTGAAACTTGTATTTTTTGTACCCAGCTAAGGTACTGACCTAGACCCCAATTTCCCACTTATAAGCCACATTTCTCTAACAGTATTATGTTCCATAAGCCACATGTGGCAGTAAAGCATCCTCGACCACATACATATAAAAACACCAAATATAAGTATTAAATGAGACTATACTAAATACTTCCAAAACATGAAACCAATATATAAATGTGGGAACCCAAAGTGGAAACACACACACCACTGCTTCTGTTGAGCTGCGGATGAGACGTGAGAACATCCAGACTGCTCCCTCTAATGGCTGCAGGCACATCTGCAAGCGCGGAGGGCCTACAAGCTGCAAGCCACGCTTGCTGGGGCCTCTCCGGAGGTCCCTAAGGCACCCCTGGTCATTCGGTCAACTGCTCTGTGAGCATTACACTGCTGTAACTGCCATGACACGGACAGATACTGCGCTCTCCGGGCAGGACACTGCTCTCATCCTGCCTTCTCGGGATTCTAATTACTCACTTTGTGTTGACAGATGTAATTGAGATTGGATTTGAATGAAACACTTAATCAAATTTGGAAGGAACTTACACACATTATTCCACTTAAGATCTATTTTAAAATCTGAAATAATCTTTTTATAGGTTTATACTTTTCAGTTGCAGTTATAAACTTTTTCTGTAATTTTTCATATTTTATTACTAGTGTGCTCAATAACCACTAGATTCTGATAGTTATCTATACAAACAACTAATTAAATTCTTAGACATTCTGATTATACACAAGAACCATTCTTTTCACAAATAAGATAATTTGGTCTCCTTTCTAAGGTATGTTTTATATTATTTACTTGGACTAAAATGTGATCTTTTCTATTCTATTTCAATTTTATTCTTAATTTCATGCTATTTCACAACAGAACAGACCTCCCTTAAAACTGCCATTGCCATGTTTTCCTGGAGGTAATTGTAGCTAGAATTGTTTTCAGACCAGGATGGCTATGCAGTACAGGCTGTCCTGCCTCAGCCTCCTAAGTGTTAGGACTACTGGCATGTGCTGCCACAGCTGGCTGTACCTAGAATCAAGAGAATGAGTGCTGCCAGGAGAAAAACGTAATTAGAGACCAGCGGCCAGACACCACTGTCTCTTCTATACAAATCAGCCTGTCCAAGTGCTCAGTCATAACATAAAATGTCCTTTCTTTCTTTGCACAGCAGATTGTTCTCGCATGTCAGAGCTGCATTCATGATCGTCCTTAGCTCTCTCTAGAGGGGCCTTGTCTCTCCCTGCACCTTTCCGTTCTCAGCTACTTTCTTTCTTTGGCATTGTTATTCAGGAAAGGTATCAAATTCAACACTGTTCTCTAAAAGAGAATAATCAGGGACACAAGGGACACAGAACATCAGCACCTTTCCAGTGAAGGATCTTTTATTTTTCACAGGAGGTGAACTAGTGTGCAGAACTGGCAAACGCCAAGGTCGGATTTCACCTCCTTGCCTGGCGGTATGAGACCCTAAAACGTCCAGATTCATGCAAATCAGAGGCAGTGCAGTCTCATCCCAGAAATTTCCTTCTGAGGACTTCTCCATGCCTCAGTCCCCGAAGGACAGCAACACATGCCAGGAACAGCAGTGATGGGGCAGTGCCAAACCACTAGGGCCCAAGCCGTCATGCAGAGAGGGCCTTTCGAAGGCTTACATTCACTCTTTGAGTACTTGTCAAAGCTGAGAACACAGGCTCAGATATCTTAAAGGCTTACTCAAGAATTCCTTCATGCCTTTCAAACAGAAAACTCATTTTAAGTGTCCTTTAAGATAAATACAATAGACCAGTGTTCAGTTGAAGGTTAAAGTTTTGGCCTTTCGAGGCTTAAATAAAACTTTCTGAGAATGACTCTTTGATTGCAAAAACAAAAAAAGGCAAAAACAAGAAAAAATTCTCCACAATTTAAAAATCATTTTAGTGTTTACATTTGCAGAAGCCTAAATGGGTATTAATGACCAGACTTCTCTCCTTTTGCTGACATTAACGTGTCTTTCCCTAATCCACACAGGCAGTTCATTAAAGTGCTTATATATTTAAGCCTCAGGTCCTGGGTAGACGATTATAGAGTTGTAACAACAATAAACTATTACACAGTTCTCCACAATTACAGAATACTTTCAGACAGCATAAGACATTTCAGTTACTTTTATAGAACACAGGATTTCATTTAATCCTCACAACACAGTGTTCTTCACAGAGGAAGTATTGTTAGCATTCTGTGCAGTATACA